AAAGCTAGTCAATTAGTTCACAGTGGAACCCACGGGATTATCCATGAAATTATACAATGTAATGATATAATTGGTTTTACCACATATAAAGATATAGAAAAATTGAAATAGTACGTCGGTAAGGGATGGAAATACACCACCTGCCAGAAATTTAATACAAAATTAATATAAAATTAGTTGATTTTGGTCTAATTATAATAGCTTCAAGCGATAAAAAGAGGAATCTATTAAATTAATGGGTTGTAATGTAACCGATTAAAACATGAGACGTATCCAACTAAACTGAAGTTATGTACAATTCTAGACTCATTCTGTATAGACTGGACAGTTGCTGACTATTGAGTTGCACAATCGTGAGCACATGCGTAAGAGAGAAAGATACAGGTTTCCTACTCATAAAAGGCGGTTCACATGTCATTTCTCATTCTACTCATAAACAAACAATAGGACACACATACACGCACTCGTTTGTCTTTTAAATGCATTTACTTTATTACGTATTAAAATACACACTTACACATTGTTCATGCATTACGCACACACTTTACTACACCTTAACACACACAAAAACACTTGGCATACACCCACCCACATACATAATTTTTAAAATAACCCACCACATTTTGTTTGACACGTGTCTAAAAATATTTCCATTCAATTTTAATAATTCTATTGGTCTCTCTCCAAATTCTTAAGTGATTCCAAAATCAACCCAATATTATTTTCATATACAAAATTCGATCTAATAATTAATTTCACATAATTATATTTAATTCACATAATTATATTAATATCTGATCGAGTCTCACAAATCACCCTCGATTCTCTATACAATTTTCAACCATGAGGTCAAGGTATCAATCATTGTCATTTGCAATACTTAATTACTTTGTCCCTTATCGGACTTCTCTTCACCTCTCTAAATGCTTTCTTATTTGTTATAGATGTAGTATTCAATTGTAATAATTATTTACTCATTATAATAATAATTTGGTGATTTATATATAATTTTTTTTAGCACGATTTCAATAATTGTAGTGAACTGTTTAGCATTAAGATGGGACGTTTTGCTTCCAACTAGTCCAAATCAATCAACAAATGGTCATTTGGAAGTCGTTACATTAAATTAGATATAATTATAAAAAAATATATAGAATAAAATATTTTTAGAAAAAGTACATAGTTAAGATGCAAAAATGTAAATGCCTATGTAAAATTTTCTTTCCTAAAAACTTTAATAAAACATATATTAAGCGTTGAAATTTATGGTCATTTAATTCAAAATCTCTTATCTTTAATAAATCTTGATTCATGCATATTATTTTTTGGAAAGTGGTTTTATTTTTAAATTATATTTATGCATTAAATATTTACTACTACTAGTTTTATAAGAGAATTTTAATATTCCGTTTATTTAAAAATATATTACTTGTTGAATTTCAAAATTTGTTAATATCCGAATTCTAGTGTAACAAATACATTATAATAAAGATAGTTAATAATACACTGTAACAAAAATAGTGTTCAATAATTTTGTGCATGTGGTAACAAATTCAAAACGGAGATGGACTGTTTTGAATGAAATTATATGAATATATATGTTTGAGAAAATGTAATAGTACAATATTTTGTATAAATGACTTCTTCCACTATTATTCTGATACTGTTCGGATATTAATATAATTTGAAAATAAAATCACTTTTCAAAAAAAAAAATATGCATGAATCAAGATGCATTAAATATAATTTAAAAACAAAATCACTTTTCAAAAAAAAATATGCATGAATCATGGTGTATTAAATATAATTTGAAAACAAAATTACTTTTCAAAAAAAATACGCATGAATCAAAGGATGATATACAAATATGGAATATTAAAATTCTCCTATAAAATTAGAAGATATTTAATGCATAACTTTTCAATGAAAATACACATAGATCAATAGGACAAAAATATTCCAAAAAGATCAGTAAAATTTAAATAATATATTTAAATACAAATAAGTATTGAAATTAATAACTTAATTATTCAATATTTTTTTTATATGTTTTTTTTATAATAAAGTCTAATTTGATATCTCCCTTTCCAATTTTCCCGTTTACTTATTACGACGACAATAATGTGATGTAAGCAGTTGGTGGGGCTGGGTGTTGCTGAAACTGAAGATGGAGTTTGGAACTTTGGGCCTTGTGGTGACTACTGAAGGTATGGAAGATGGTTTGGGGTGGCTGTCGGTGTTGGGGCAGGGGAGCTGTAGGGAGTTATGGATAAGTATTGGGGCTCTCCATGATAGGGCTTGTCGTTGATGATTGTTTTGAATAAAAAATAATATGGATAATTAAGGGGTTTTAAAGTCTTTTTGGTCAATTGTGTTATTTTGGTTGATATTACTAAGTGTAAAGTGTTAATGTGCAAACTAGGTGATAAGAGTGATAATTTCTGATACGACACAAAAATATAATTCAAAATTAATAAAAAATTAGTGGGTTATAATTGTTTATTTCTTGATACAAATTCGTAAATGACACGATCCATTAATACAAATAATAAATGGATCAAATTAATATCAAATATCAATAACACGAAATTGACTTAATTAACATGTTTAACTAGTATTATAAGAACAAAATATTAAATTTTACTAATTTTAATCAAGTAGTAACATAATTATTGTACAAAAAAAGATATGTTTACTTATTATTATTATTATTAAGTTAATTTTGAGTTTATAAAAAAAGTATAAGTATAGGTATAATTAAGTGATAATTAAATTTTATACTTAAATCTGAGCATTAAATTTGATATCAATAATGCTATTGGGATATAATTGACAGATATAATTTGAGGACATAATAAATTATGACTAATGTATGATAGTGAAACGCATTTAATGATGCGACTCATTGCAAAATTAAATGCATTCTACCATTATTCTATTAGTCACAATAATGCATTATGTCCCTAAACTATATCCTAATAGTATTACTTATTTTTTATTTACGCGTTAAATAAGTCAATACGAACACGACACAAAATAATGACTCGATACAATTAATTAAATGAATTGGATTAGAATTGACTAATGCTCAATATAAATTCAAAAATGGCACAACGGCGGTAGTGGCGGTGGCATCGGCAGCGGCAAATGGATAAAATGAAATTTGACCTCTCAACTAAAATCTTTATAAATGTGGCGGTGGTGACAGGCAACAGGGGATGGATAAAATGAAATTTGACTCGCAACTAAAATATTTTTTATGTTACCCATCAACTATCATATTGTTCTGTATTAATTTCACATCACTCTTGTTATTAACGTTCCTTACATATTTAACAAAAAAAAAAAAAGGACAAAATCCAGTTTATTCTCTTGTAGTTTGGATATTTTGCACATGACCCCCATATCATTTGGAAATCAACACATTACCTCCTTATAATTTTAGACCAAAATGCACAATTAACACCGTGAACAAAAGTAATAAAATGATTTTAATATCCTCAAACTCTCAACCGTTAAACATCAAAATAGGCCACGTGTTATGAGTTCCACTTGAACTTCTCATGCCCACTCACACCAGTTAGCAATATATCTCTCTTCCCACCATCTCAGCAAAATTATACCTTGCCTCTCTCTCACACTCTCTCTCTCACTCAACAATGTCATTGCGCCTCTCTCTCTCTCCTTCATCATCTCTCTCCATCAGCAACCCTCTCTCCCCCTTCTCTTTCTCTAAGCAACAACCTCATTGGCTCTTTCTCTCACCACCCTTCTGCCACAATTGACAACCCTCTCTTTGTCTCTCTCTCTACAACCAATAAATCAACGATCCATCTTCTCCCAATTATCACTGCCATCGGGGCAACCATCAGCAACCATCTGGGCAACCATCACAGCCACGACCATACTATCTATTTACAGAGCACAAACTCAAACCCCCAATCACCCTAATCAAAGCAAGGATTCTGGAGAACTATTGATTTGTGTTGGGTATTTGTAATGGGTCAAAGGACTACTGATTTTTCGGTGGAGTTGCAATTGTCTTGTGAGGTTGGGTTGGCTTTGCTGAATGACTAGAAGGGATTACCTGGTCTGCGAAGGAACAGAAGGGTTGTGTTTGATGATATGGGCTAACAGGCTTTGTTTTATTTGAACATCCTTGAAGCAAATGCTGATTTGTCTGAAATTTGCTAGAAAGGAAGCTGGACAGTGATGATGTTTTGGTTTGGGAGTTGGCTGGATGAGCTGTTGGTTAACTTTTGGTTTTGTTACTTAAGTTTGGTTTGTTGTCTTTTAAGGCATATATTTTGCTTCGTGCTTTCTGTAAGGTATATTTTCTTCTTGTAATTACTGTTTTTTTGAATAAATAAAATTCTATTAAAAAAAGGGGGATAAACTGAATCCCTTGTTTTCCTTTGTTTCCTCTTGGTCTTCGTTGATCTCTGTTATTACTGGTGGGGGTGTCTTGCTTGGTTGATTGAACTTGGTTGTCGATGGTTGTGGTGCATAGTAGGGTAATTGTTCAAGAAGATGAAGATCGAATAAGGGTATTATTGTAATTTTATTGTGTCTATTTTTGGAAGAAAACGTGTTTTGTTATGTCAAATCTCCTCTTAGGTGCGTGTATGTCATGGATGGTCTAATCTAACAGAAATACTAACGGTAGTATTTTAGTCCAAAACCACAAGAGAGTAATGTGCTAATTTCTAAATGATAGGGGGATCATGTGCAAAATACTCAAACCACAAGGGAGTAAACTGAATTTTGCCCCAAAAAAAATTATTTTATTTTACCTCTTAAACTATTTTCTCACTTTAACCCAACGTGTTGGAAATATCCATTCAAAAAGATGACGAATGTATGAGATTGGGGCATTATAAAATAATGCAAATACTTGACGAGAAAAATGTAATAGTTTAAAAGATAAAGTGAAATAGAGTGCATAGTTTTGGGGGTTAAAACATAATTTATCTTTTATGACCCTCGTGTAAATGGTAGAGGAGACTTCGGAGTTGCGAAAAGTTGGTAGACTGCACTGTTTATCAGGAACCATTTCTTCCCCTTCCCAACTCCCACGTTCCAGCTCTCTCTCTCTCTCTCTCACAAACACACACTCTGAACCCCTGTTTTTTCTCTCTCTAGAAAGTCTATGTACCATTGAGAGAGCCATAGCTTCGCCGTTTGATGCAGCAAGTAATGGGCTCAGAAGGATCAAGTGTTGTGGGTATGCTTCAAACCCTGAATTTCTACTTCGTTACATTGTAATGTTATCTTTTTATCTGTAAATTGGTTAGAATTCTGTGCGTTTCTGAAGCTTTTATGTGTATTGATTGTTTACTTGTTGCCTTTTGTTTTCATCTATAAATTTTTTTTTTTTCATGTTTTCTTAAATTTGGGGTTTGGTCAAGTTAGGGTTTTGGGAATTGGGTCAATATGTCTTGTTTTTAATTCAATTTGATGTTTTCGGCAATATGAATGTTATGCCCAATACATAATGAAGTTTGTGGATTTTGTTGTATATAAAATAACATAGAGGTACGGATTGAAGGGTTTAGAAGTGAAAATTTTGATCATGAGCTACTATTGTCGGTTAATTTATTTATTTTTGGTGAAGTGAATGAGGTATTCTATATTTTTACTGACAAAGCAATCGTGGAATGAAGTAAGGTAGAGTTTTATGCGGTTCTATGTATCATTCTGTTAATTTTGGAGTACTGCTAAGGGGTGGTTGCTCTATGACCTTGTCGGGTATCACCTGTATCTGTGTGACATGGTGCAGATATGTAAGTTTGTGATAATAAACTTCCTGCATCTTTTAGTTCTCCACATGCCATATGCTTATGCAGGGCTGGCTCAATAATACTTGAGGCCTTGGGCAAAAACTTGAGACGGGGCTCTAAATGTTTTTTTTTTTGTAATTAAATTAATTAAATTATTTTTTATTTTCTCATGTTAAATTCATATTTTCTATAAGTATATCTTAGATGGAAAACTACTTAAAGATTAAATGCCTTATCCAGATGGCTATATTGAGATCAAAATTAACTCAAGTATGTTCAAGAAACTAAAACTGGGTAAATACACTGGATTCACTAAAACTTAGATAGAATGGGAGGGATTAGATCTTATAAATTTTCAAAAAGAATATAATGCATGTTTCTTTTTAAAGTTATCAAAAATTTGCATAAAACCCAATTTACTTTATAGAAAAAGGAATCGAGAAAACGAAAAAGAAACAAGTGAGATATGGTTTATGGGGAAGAACTATGAAAGACACAAAAGAAATCATTGTAAACCGGACACATGCACATTCAACATGGTCACAATGACATAACTATTAGACCTTTGTCAAAAGGCAAATTTAATAATGAGGATATATATATTTGAAAGAAGAATATTTCCAATTTCTTTGCTAATATGATGTAACATCCTATTTCTATTTTTTAAAAAATATAAGTGTATAATTTTCTGGATCGTAGACAAGCAGAGCCCTAGGTGAGCCCCTCACTCGCCTAGGAGTCTAGCTGGCATTGTGCTTATGCTCATTCGATGTTGGTGATGGGCGCTTCTTGCAATGCTTATTAAATGTATGAGTTGCCATAGCTTAATCTTTAAATATGCAGTCAAAATAACTGTCTTATGTTCGCGTGGGCACGCATAAGGCTACGTTTTGTATGTAAAAATAAAAGGAGAAAGGTACTTACCAAAGAAAAAGAGGATGGAATCCAAGGAGGAAGCGGCAGAATGTGCCATTCCCTTTTTGCGGATGTAATTGAAGCAAGGTCCATAAATAGATGCCTGCGTTGAAAAACATGATTTGGGGGTTAGAACTTAGGATGAAAATGTATATATATGCATGCCTGCTAATGAACACACACAATTACTTATTTTGGGTGAGTAGATAGACAGAGGAAAGAAGGGATAAAGAAATGAGGTGTGTTTTGGTTGGGGGTTTTTTTTTTTTGGGTTGTGGGGGGGGAGAGATTTTGGGTTCTTTTTGGTGAAAAGCAGACTTCCAAGACTAATATGATGGGAGCTGCCCACTCTTTATTGGATTGATTTGGATGTGTTTATCAAAATAAAATCTATCTATTTGTGTTGCAATGGGAATGGGCAAAATAAATGGTTTTCCCAAAGTTATCTTCAGTTTATTTGACCCCAGCGCACAATCTGAATATAAAACCAAAAGAAAGGTAGTTTATAGATAATGCATTGTTTAATGCACTGTGTTTTTTACTACGCCATTGAATTTCAGGGACACTGTCCACTTATATCCCCTCATTCCGTAACTTTATTATTTTCAAATTTGTATTTTGATAACAAATTGTTGGAATAAATGTCCATCATATGCTGATTATGCATATCAGAAACCGGATGAACAAGAGATTTGGAGCTACCTTATTAGCATCACATTCTAGGTTACAGTTTTATTCTCGGTAGAATTAAAAGAAACAGGAAGTTGCTAATTGAATGCTTATTAATGCTCATTTAACTTGATATGTTGCATGCATGACATGCACAGTGTGTAACCGGGCAGTTTGATTGGCAAAGACCATTCTTTGTCGAGGATTCAATGCATATTGCCCCTTTAGTTTTATACATAACAAACGTGAGTGCAGCCTTTTTAATCTTGACAAGTTTAGTTTGAGTGTGCTTGTGATTTCTGCCTCAAATTGCTGATGCCAGTGCACAGATCATGTGGACATAATCATTTGATTCCAGCCAGTACTATTACCTAAGGATTTACTTGCATGTCACATGGATCATAGATACCTTACGAAAAATTGTGTTCTTTTGCAGTTCCGAGGAATTTTAGGTTATTAGAAGAGCTCGAGAGAGGAGAAAAGGGAATTGGGGATGGAACTGTAAGCTATGGAATGGATGATGCAGATGATGTATACATGCAATCATGGACTGGGACAATAATTGGTCCTCCAAATGTTTGTTTTCCTTTTTCAATCTTCCTATTCATGTCCTGTAAATAGCATGTGACATAGTTATATATTACTGCATTCCCTGGGATGTTGACTTACTTTTTATATTTAAAGGTTGGAGGTATTTGAAAGGCCTTGGGCTCATCTTCAATGTTGGAATGCTGTTGATTTATTAAGTCGAGTTACTATACCCTTTGGATGCTTGAGTGTAAATAGTGAGAGATTCAAAATCTTGTGCTTTTGATGAACTAGATCAAACTCTAAATGTAGAGACTGGAAAGTCACTTGTGGAGATTGCATAGGGACTGTTCTGGCAAATACCATAGGCGTGACAACTAAAATAATTAGGCTTAGAAACTAAATCTGCCTTGGTTGGACCACCCAGAAGGTGTAATCTTTTTTTTTTTTTTGGCTGTCCACCTTCAGGATGTAGTTTGCAATTGAATTACGGAATGCTGATCCCGCACCAATGGCAGGTGGAGTGGTTAGATAGAGCCTGGAGTTGTCAGGCTACAGACTAAGTTTTAGTTATGGGGATTGAATCATATAATTTAGTGGTGATGATTTGTACCCAAAACTATCATTTGTGGCCCATCCAAACAATTCTCATCAGTGAATAATTCATACCGTAGAAAGAAACAAGGTTCGATGAAACTTTGAAGAGTCGGCAATCACCTTTTAGTTTTTGCCTTTTGTTTCGAAAGTTATTAAAATTCTTTTTTTCCTCACAAGCACATTTAAGGCACCTTTTGTGTCTGCATTTTACTCTGGTAACCTTCCTTATGATTATTGCCGTTATGACAAAAGGTGAGAAATTAATAATCATAAATTAGTAGTTTGCTTTCCTGTTATCATGGTAACAGTCCACTTTGGTCATACCCCTCAATGATCTTGCTTGGGACACTAATGGTGTCTTGTTTTGCTACCATAGTAATTTCATTCATGCACTAGCATAATTTCAAAACTGCTGAGCTGAATTTTTTCTTCTTGGTATATTCTTTACTAATGTCAACTATATTCTTGAATTTCCTTCCTGATATTGATGATATATTCAGTGTTCTCTATTAGCTCATATTATCATGAAGCACCAGGCAATTTGATGGTTACAACAAAAAAATCCATATGAAAGAAAAATTCAGTTGCTATATGTGACATTGGTGTTGATATTTTCTTTTTTTAAGTTCAAATTGCTTTGTTATGGGATTATTTACGTTATCAACGCATAGTGAAAGAAGAAAATTGTTGTCTTACTATTTATTGATGCTGCAAGACAGACCGTTCATGAAGGGCGCATCTATCAGCTGAAACTATTCTGTGGTAAGGATTATCCGGAAAAGGCGCCAGGTGTTAGGTTTCAAACCCGTATAAACATGAGCTGTGTTGATCGCGAAACTGGTTTGGTAAGTACTGTCACTTGAAAGTATTCTAAGACGAAATGTTTTAAAATAAGCTCATGGGTGGCCGAATTACCAGGTTGAGCCTAGTCTTTTCCCCATGCTTGCTGACTGGCAACGGGAGTATACAATGGAGGATCTATTGACTCAATTAAAGAAAGAGATGATGTCTCCCCAGAATCGCAAACTAGCTCAGCCTCCTGAAGGTTTGTCAACTTTACTTCTCAGTTGCTGGCATTGTTCGATTTTACCTTATATCTCCTTCAAGGATTTAACTTATAGGCAGCCATTCATTAATAAAATCTTCTATTCCACACTTTTTTGTCCACTTTTGGCCCCAAAGACAATGGATGCGTGTGACAGAATGATAGGAAAGATGGCTATTTCCTTTAAATGGAAGGGGACTATATAGCTTCCATTATCTAGGGTAGAGCAGTCCATACACTGTTTTACTATTGTNAAGGATGCGTGTGACAGAATGATAGGAAAGATGGCTATTTCCTTTAAATGGGAGGAGTACTATATAGCTTCCATTATCTAGGGTAGAGCAGTCCATACACTGTTTTACTATTGTNTTCCCACAAGCACATTTAAGGCACCTTTTGTGTCTGCATTTTACTCTGGTAACCTTCCTTATGATTATTGCCGCTATGACAAAAGGTGAGAAATTAATAATCATAAATTAGTAGTTTGCTTTCCTGTTATCATGGTAACAGTCCACTTTGGTCATACCCCTCAATGATCNGTGCAAACACAATGCAAGCTACTAGCAAATAGTTACAATAAGATTCATGTTTCTATGGAATTTTTCTAAGCATGTGCAGAATGGCACTTGCTATCGTTTCATGGCCTATATTTGAATCTTCCTATAGTCTCATGTATATTTATATCTGATCGCTGGGATGGTGGAACACACCCATGTTTTTTCTCTGTTTAGTGAATGTAGTAGTAGTGATTTTCTTTGATGTGCTACTTAGGAAGATGAAGCCACTAACCATAGAATGCTCTATTTTCTTTAGGCAATGAAGGAGGGAGGGTGAATCAGAAGGGGCTGATGCTGAAGTGTTGTATTCTCTAATTTGTAGAAATGTAGACCATGATATGTATGTAAATATAAACAGTTGACAATTCCACCCCGGCTTTTGGAATGAGACTGATTAGCAAGATCATCCATAATCTTGGGATCAAATTGATCTGTAACGTTTAATCATTAATGTCAAAAATGTTGTTGAATAAGTTGGACTCTAAGATGAGTCAGTATCGTCTTCAAAATTCGATGAGATTTGTTTTCTTATTTATTTTGTTGTTTTTTTTTCCTAACTAATAGTTATATCGGATTTTCGATGTTTAGGGTACCCACTTAATACTTTTAGGCATATGCTGTCTCTTTTGTTCCTCGTGTTTTTTTTTCCTAGTATTGTGGATAGGGATTGTCTAGATCAGCTTATCTGTATCTTTGACTAATCATCTTTTTGGTCCGATTAAAGATATGCTATATAAGTCAAAATTAAGGAATTCATGAGATATAAATTCTTTATGGTCTGATGTCAAGAAAGTTTTTAAATTTCGAACTCAAAATGTTCGATTTTACAAGTTTACCGGTCGTTTTTGTCTACCCTTGTGTTGGTGTTAAATCTCTTTCGTTCTATATGCACTGGGCAACCAGAAAAGACTCGGTTTAGGATCTCTAATTTGTATAGTGGGTTCTTGACCAACTTGTCAGCTTGGTTTGTTATACATATTTTTTGCCTAGAAAAAGTTATTATTCGATGCATAATGCTCAGATGAGAACAAATAGACATTCCAAATCTGCTCCATTGTTGGTGAATCCTTCTTCGGCTTGTAAATTTGGACACCATGCGTGTACGCTTCAATTCTCAGTTCGTGAAAAGCTTAAGAACAAAGGGACACAGATAGGACTTTTTCTGAAGCAACGTGAGGGTGAATTATTAATGTTAGTTCAAAGGCTGATGTCTACAGTAACATTAAGGAATTGGCTGTTCACCAAAAAAAAATAATTTTTCATACTTCTTATTGCTCTTAACCAAACACACAAAAAAAAAAGAAAAAAAAAAGGATTCCTCCCATACAAAATTAACACAAAAGAGTTCAAAGACCAAAGAGGGAAACATGATGGAAAGACAATAATTCGTGGGTCTCTCCCCCCCACCCAAAACCCAAAACCCCACATTTCCAATATTTCGTGGGTCCACCCACCAACCTTCATTCATTTACACAAAGACGATAACCTTGACTAACATTATAAGTGACGTAATGGAATAATGTGACCCACTCCGGCTAAAAAACAAAAGAATAATCATATGTCGTTGAGGATTCAAGTCTCTTCCAATGTGTGTTTATTTATTTTTTAATTTTTTTCCAATCTCAGATATATAAACTGTGTACATATTAACGGTCACTAATGTGTTGTACTTGAATTCATAGAATGTGATATATGGAATGTGAGTTAGTTTCATCGGCGATTAATCTTGAAAACAAAATAGATCAATTTTTATACCCGCAACTACGTCATTATTAAGATGTGGACTTGGGTGACTTGTCCTTTGATGTTGCAATGAATATGCTGCAAGACATCGTGAGGCAAGCAACATTTGTGTAAAATATACTACTTTCTAAAATGATGATTTCAAAGTTTTCTAAATGTATTTAAGACAACAATTACAAAAATTTCCTTTTTGGATGTGTTTGAATCATCTTTAGCACATGTTTTAAAATTTTCTCAATAGCAAACCACTCTCAATAAATATAATGGGATTTGGACTCTATGAAGATACAGAATGGTAGAGACAAAGTAAACATTAGAGATTAATTGTATATTTGTGTGAGAACGAGACCAAAGTGATAATCTTGAAAATTTTTTATTTTTTATTTATTTTATTATATATATATATATACATATTTTATCATTATATTTTTATATGAAATTAATGTATACATAATATATATAGGCAAATAAGATACATCTCAACATAAATAATTAAATTTCTATCCACTTTCCTTTCTATTTTGGAGGGATTGATTTTGGTGAGTTGGAAGGAAAGTTAATTCATCTACTTTTTCATTCTTCGTATTTTCCTTTCTTATCAAACATGATATTTTATCTATCCCTCAAACTTTCCATCCTTTCATTTTTCATCATATCAAACAGAGCACAAGTGAAGAAAAACTCCTTCTGTCCGAGAACATGTTGTAATAATAATAATAATAATAGCCAACTAATATACATCAGTTACAAAGATGTGAAGATTTGGCCAAGTATGGTACCAATAAATGATCCTGGATTTTACTTTAGAAAGTTGTTATTACTATCATCTAACTTTTTTACTAACCAGGATTCAAGCGTGTCGATTTTACCCACTGACATAAATTCTGCACGATGCGAAACTTGAAAGTGACACGACCAATTAACACAAATAATGAATTAATCAAATGAAGGTTAGTCACAAATCACACGAATAACTAGAAATGTAAGAAAAAAAAACAGTAATTTATAATTTTTTTTTAAAATTTATTTACATATTATAATATGAATTGTTTTAGAAGTAAATAATTTTTTATTAAAACAAATACGACACAAATAAAAAATGACTCGATTCAAAAATAACAAAATCAAAAATGACACGACGCGAATTGATACCTTATCTGCTAACTTTTAGTTGGTTTTGTATGGCAATAAAAAACCGTGTTCACAAATTTCCAACTTTACCATTAACAGAGGATGATTGAATGGATGAAAATTGAAAAAAAAAAAAAAAAATTCAAGTTAAGATGATGCAACTTCCATGTGAACATCATGAAAAACTAACTGGACCCCAAGTCAAGTCACATATTTGTTACTTCATTTTGGAGGTGAAGACACCTTTACTGTTGCTTAGGAATCACTGTATGCCTGTTCATTTCCCTTCCTCTCTCTCTCTCTCTCTCTCTCTCTCTCATGCAGAACAAGAATTACGAATTTCTATATTTTTTTTTTTTTTATTATTTAGTTGGAATAAGGGTTTAGGTAGCTTTTTTAAAAACTGAAATTTGTTTATGTTTTGAAAACTTTAAGGTTACAATTTTTTCTATAAATTGTCATATGTACTACAATTTTACATACTTAATCAATCAATAATACAATATTTCAAGAATTATTCTTTTCATATTCTCTGTGAATTTAGTATTTTTATTCTTTACATGTGTACTCGTAGACGATGATATCTTTGTGTCTCCGATTATCCGCTGCGTCACTCTCTCTCACATACACACACGAACAGAAACATTGTATAAACCCAGAAGGTGTGAATCCAAAACATCCAGGGCCTATTTCGTTTGGAGTAATACTAATTTGACCTAATTTGTTGACATAATAATGTAACTTCAGCAGAATCATTGGATCAACACTAAATTTTAATATTTGATAGGCCCCACAGTCAATTAAAATGTCATAATGAATTAGGTCAATAAATTAGTTTTCATTGCTCTTTGGTTTGTGGGGGCATTGTTTGATTGGAGATGTAAAACCCGAGATGTAGGGTCTCTCATGTCCAAGGCACCAAAAACTACAGTTTGTTGAACTCCACATATGTAGGCTTGAGCAAACCCAGGGGAATGGGTTTCAAAGATGGGTTGTTGGATATTTAGGTAAAAAGACACTACTACCCCAAAATGGATATGTATTTGATTAAATAATGGCATTTACTATGAATCCCATGTAGGAATCCAACTGGATGAGATTTGAAGGAACAAAGAAATGCAATTCAATCTCCATTCGTTTCACCATCCAAACATGGCACAAAATCACTAAAGCAATTCAGAATTTCCCAGACTCTCAAGCCCCTTCCCACCATTACAATAACCAATCAAACACTCCACAAGGTTCCTCTATATGGCCCACTTTTTTCTTCTCTCTCTCCATTTGTTTTTTCCTGTAATTTTGGCATACGTAGTGGACAGCAATGCTTTGGATTCAACCATGCACACTCTATCCTAAGNATTTTTTCTATAAATTGTCATATGTACTACAATTTTACATACTTAATCAATCAATAATACAATATTTCAAGAATTATTCTTTTCATATTCTCTGTGAATTTAGTATTTTTATTCTTTACATGTGTACTCGTAGACGATGATATCTTTGTGTCTCCGATTATCCGCTGCGTCACTCTCTCTCACATACACACACGAACAGAAACATTGTATAAACCCAGAAGGTGTGAATCCAAAACATCCAGGGCCTATTTCGTTTGGAGTAATACTAATTTGACCTAATTTGTTGACATAATAATGTAACTTCAGCAGAACCATTGGATCAACACTAAATTTTAATATTTGATAGGCCCCACAGTCAATTAAAATGTCATAATGAATTAGGTCAATAAATTAGTTCTCATTGCTCTTGGTTTGTGGGGGCATTGTTTGATTGGAGATGTAAAACCCGAGATGTAGGGTCTCTCATGTCCAAGGCACCAAAAACTACAGTTTGTTGAACTCCACATATGTAGGCTTGAGCAAACCCAGGGGAATGGGTTTCAAAGATGGGTTGTTGGATATTTAGGTAAAAAGACACTACTACCCCAAAATGGATATGTATTTGATTAAATAATGGCATTTACTATGAATCCCATGTAGGAATCCAACTGGATGAGATTTGAAGGAACAAAGAAATGCAATTCAATCTCCATTCGTTTCACCATCCAAACATGGCACAAAATCACTAAAGCAATTCAGAATTTCCCAGACTCTCAAGCCCCTTCCCACCATTACAATAACCAATCAAACACTCCACAAGGTTCCTCTATATGGCCCACTTTTTTCTTCTCTCTCTCCATTTGTTTTTTCCTGTAATTTTGGCATACGTAGTGGACAGCAATGCTTTGGATTCAACCATGCACAATCTATCCTAAGGAAAAATTCCTTATTTTGGCTTTTAAACCTTTTGTGCCAATCTCGTCACCCAACTTTCAACATAGTATCAATTAGGTCCAATTCATATGTTAGTTAAATTGTTATTATTATTATTATTATTTTTTGAAGGTAAATGGGTTTCATTAACGTAAAAACAAATGCAAGAGATACATGGTTAGTATCATCAAACGAAAACAAGCAAGTATTCCTAGGAAAGGGATTGTTGTAAAACAAAACCAGGCATATTATGTATGGGGTGCCAAGAAATGTACTAGGTACCCCATACAGAATAGCCCTTACAACATGGATTCAAGATCAAAAGACAAACAAATTGGATATGCTAATGTTATGCTAGACAGGATCTGGGGAGCT